AAACAAAGATTCCCTAAGATTCTTTATGAATCTAAAAAATAGTTCATTAAACCGCGGTGTTCACGAAAACTCACATTTATTTCAGGGTTCGCGGTGATCAAAAATTCAATATTTCGGGGCATTTAATCAAAATCGATAGTTTAAAAAAACAACTAGGAATGAGATGAAAAACAAAATGTATCACACATTAAGAGACTACATCTCTGTAAAATATTTAAGTAAATATTGATTCTTTTATTTATGCTGTCAGAAGAACCCTAGTAATATATCCTAAACTCATGTTTACGTATTGGCGAATAAAGCATACTGATTATCCCATATCTTGAGCACAATTTAATCAAAAAACTAGGTAAATTTCGCGATTGTTCTTCTTATAATGATACATAATTATGTACATGATTCTTCACATTCTACTTTATTCTGTATGTCTATTGGTCTGCAATCATATTGGCTGCTAGAGCACTTTAGTTAGAGCATACTTGTAAAGCAGGAAAATAAGATTTAACATGGGTGTTTCGCCTCTGTTACATGATTCACTTGAGTTATTTTCAGGTGTAATGTTGAGCTTCAAGTAAACATACATTATTCAGGTTCATGTATGTTGATTTAGTCAGTTCTTATCCTCATGTAGCCTACCAAGAATGAAGGTACATGATTACTGCCTTCCATGACCTTGTAATGTATTAGTAAATTTCCGAACTCGTTTCAGGATATTACCACGCTTTCCAAGGAAAAGTGATCATATCCTGAATTCCTACCTAGTGGAAGGTTGATTGAAAAACTAGCGACCCTCAGGTGAACAACCAGGAAACCGAAATTCATAGCTTTAGGCGGCTTCAAGTTATTCAGAGATTACAAAGTGTTTATACGATTTCCAGATTTTGGACTTCCAGGGCAAAACTGAAGAATAACATTCAAAGTTCAAGATCAAAGTTATGTGCGAACTGATTTCAGAACTTGGATAGAGTAAACGGATTAAAAAGCTATAAAAAAAATTCTATTCACAACTATAGTTTGTAATCAGCCAAACAGTTTGAACTTCTTCCGTAAAAAATGTGTTGCATTCATGTTGTGAGTTTTAAGATGTGGATGGACGTTAGTTAAAAGAATCTCAGTAGTCAGTAGGACTAACTGCAGTTAGACGGATTCTGACAATATTGTAGAAATAGTGAGGTGTTTCGGGACCCTTGTCAATCCATTATTCAGTGGATCACTGATTATCTATAGAGAAGCCAGTTATCCTGACAGGATAAGACGAGTTAGGTATTAACTTCTAGGCCTCACTTCGACGTAAGCCAGTGGGCTAAACCATTCCCAACCAACCTGAGTAGACGAACCAGAACATAGTTCACACACATCGATGAACTACAATTTATTGGAATTTCTCTGTCATCCTGACCAATGATGTCTATGTTCATTCACAACACAAGTCTAGAATACGTCACATGCTATTGGTTGATTACCAAAGAGACACTAAGCGTTTATCTGTAAATATTAGAATTTTAGGACGTTGTACACTTCAGTCTTTTTCTAGCATATGATTTCACCGAAGCATTAATTAGTCGCCTTTGTATACAATAACCCTACACAGTTTAATACCATTTACATAGATAAGGACATATGCAATACGAATTTCTAGGCGGTGATTACTAAATATTCGAAATTTTAGGAGTTTCTGATCGTCCGTAGTTTACGCCCCTCAGATTATACCTTTACAGGTTCTGACGAGGAAGCATCTGTCATTTAGGCATTTCTTTATTGAGAATACAGTGTGAGGCGCCATTTAATTCTGCTCATGTCTTCGAATCATTATCTTAATGAATCCTTTCGGCAGTAAATAAAACTGCGTCAGTTGATCCACGATTGACTCTTCAGTCACCGTGTCGGCAGATAATGTGAAGTGATGGAATGACACATACCTCGTGCTTTTCTTGCTGTGGAGAGGATTCTTTTACTCCAGAGTGTGACACTACCGCTGTTCGAGTCTTCTATTAGAATGTTCCTAGGACAACCAAACGAACTTGAGGTAGTCGGGTGGAAAGATTTATTCGCACAATAAGCGGAGATGTAGTAGTATATAAATTTTTACCATGTCTTCGGAAATGGTGAGTTTCACGACAAGTTGAAATGTCATATGTTAACAACTTTCATACATCCGCTTAATTATCTTTTACTCCATGCACTACCAATTCAATGAACTTGACATAAATAAACAACCATCATTAATAAATTTCAGTGATTTGCTTGCTATTTTGCATCCGTTCATAAAAATAGTTCGAATCGAACTTCAAGTTAGTATGCGAACGACTAGGTGGGATCAGACGATGAGAAACTTTTTACATTCTCTCTATTGGTCGTTCGAAAACCGAAAAAAGAGAATAGATCAAATAAATTATCAGCAAGTAAAAAGTTACGTTATTCTCTGTACAATTATATTATGGCTAACAATGCATTACGAAGGTTTCATTAGCGTGATTTTGCAGTATAGTAGCTTCTATATGTTTTAAAAGGCCCAAATAAAGTGGGTAAAATAAAAAGCAGATAAAATATGCATGTTGACTAATATTTGATGGATGGGTGGTTTACTGACTTCAGTTATTTCTAGAAACCATAAAATCATCACTAAACCCTGTAACAACATTCGAGGGATCTATTTGAAAATTGCCACATCCTGTTTACGATTTTTGCATATCAGGATGTTGAGAGCACGTAGGCCATAAATTATTGCTTCACTTAAATTATGAAGAGGCGTTAATGAATGTAATACACTTAAATTTCCATGTCGTTTGTTCAGCAAACGTACTACTAACTTATAATGAGGTTATTTATTAGTCGTTGTGCTACCTTCAGAAAAATACAAAGGGAAGGAAACTCTTAAACACCAGCTGGTGATAAGAAAGAATGCAACAGAATAGTCCCAAATTACTTATAAATATATACTTCAGTTTTCAGTAACATGCTATTATATTCACGACCCATAGATGACTTCAGTCTCGTAAGTGATTTTTTAATGATCTCTACAGTATAATTAATTCAAGATTAGGATACGATTCGGACACAGCCTTTCCCATCTTGAAAGCCGAATTGTGAATAATATAAGTATTACTCAAAAAGGAAAATACTTATGTACATTTATAACATTGATGCAGACACTGTTACCACCATAAGCTGGAAATCAGCTCATTCATGTTCATATCCTGTTGACTACAAGAGATCATCTACATAAGTGTTACTAAACATGCTTAGAACCGGTATGATAATAGTAATTTGTAATAACCATTAGAAATATAGAACATCAAAATCATTTTACGTACAAAATGCGAACACGAAAACTGCATTCTTCATTAAAATGACGATATAATCAATACTAAGCGCTACGGGATTTACTCCATAATTTGGCACTAAAACTTGAGAATCTATGCATCCAAGAGTGATTTGTAGAAGTTGTGAGAATAATGTCACTTCCAATTGTTAGACTTCACGTCAGCACAATGGAAGCAGGGATCCGCAAATTGAGAAGCCATAAAAATAACAATATCACTTGAAGTTGAAAAGCAGAAATGATGGTTGCCCAATATCTCGGATAGGTTGAGGTTGGAAATGGGAACCATTGAATTCCAACTAAGTGGCTTGAAAGTTAGGAACCCATCGAGATACCTCAGTGATATCGGTCTGACACTTCATAGGATCACGAATGCACATCTCTGAGAAGTCCCACACTAGGGCAAAACAGTTATCCCGTGCCTCGTGGTTTTCAGCGGTTATCTAACTAAATTCAATCCGCAAAGTCAAACTTAGAATGATAAGTACTATTCAAATCAAATAAATTATAAACAAAGGAAGGTTGGGAGTGATGTTAAGCTCAACATGTACAGGCAGGTAATGAACACAATCAAGTCAATTAAAGGTAAATTAGAACTCCCATTGGTTATTGAGATTGTTAACATCTGTTATGAGTCACAAGATAAACGAAATTCCAAGCTCCTTGCGACAAGGATGTTTTCAGCGTATTTATATAAACTGTTACGTGAACTTACACAACTATATAGATACATTGTCCCATAAAGCAACACTAACCATATAAATGCAGGATCCCGACAGTAACTGGAGCTAACTTACGGGGCGACTTGTTTAGACCACCTATTAGTATTAAATCTTTTTACGTACCTACTACTCATAAGGTTTTATACTGAGCGTAGTGAAAGAGTACCTTATGAACTAGTTTCAGATCTCCAATTACTTGCAGCGGGTTTACTGTATTTGGAAGCTAAACAATGATCTCCGAAATATCTATCAAGACCATTTAGACAGGATAGACTCGTTTTTCGGTAACTAAAGCATAGCTACGAAGAAATATGAGTAGACAGAAGGAGCCACGTGATATAAACTTTAAGAAATTTGTAGTAAACTGATAAAGTTAAAAATAGCATGAAATAAGGTGGATTTCTTGTATAGCTGACAAAATAAGTCAAACAACATAGTAACGCAAAAAGAAGTGATAAGGATTACTATCATTATTATTATACAAACTAACAACGTAAAATATGGAGGCATAGTGACAATAAGACACAACGTTTTATCAGCAGTCAATGCTTTTACACTAAAAATATTTTACATTCATCTATCTTTGAGCCTTAATATTGTATAGGTTTTAATATCAGCACTTCAGTTTATATCCACTGGTGTATGGAAATGATGTTATACACGGATTCTTAATTAATATAAACTAATCATAATGTTCCTTTTTTGTCAAATTCATAATAAAAGCAAATAAAACCAAAAATTTATAAACGTGTTTATGAGAGCATAAAATTGAATTAAAAAGATTACCATTTATAAACTGAATGATGAATACAGATTATCTTTAAGAAAAATCACACGGTAATCAAGAAAAGTAAATGCATTTTGCCTCTTGCAACAAAATAATAATCCAGCATAAAAAAAGAAATGACTAGTTAAAAGATGCATACAGATTCACTCATAAATAAGTCCTTTTTCTCTTATTGAATATCACCATATCGAGTATATAATGTATATAATAAACGTAATGTTGCTTTTAAATCGTGGCGTAATACATTTTCAGGTTGATTATATTCCAAGTCAATACCTTCAACATCATGAGCTAATTGAAAAGCTACTTGAAGATTAGCCAACTTTTGAGCGTCTGTTGTTGGTGTGATATGATAAGCATGCAGTGGAACAAAATAGTTGCCAAGTAAACCAAGTAATAAAATGAAGTAGACACCATCACTCATCTTCGAAAAAAAGCATAAAAAGAGGGTAAATGGAAAATCAGTAAAATTGAAACAAATTAACACTCATTATCACAATAGATTAGAAAGGAAATCAAGTAAAATTAAGGTTGTTGACTTTTATGCCTTGGATATTATGTCTTATGAGAATAATATAGATTTTACCCATGGAAAAGAACCTTGCTAAAAAACGCTAACCACAAAATATTATTTCAACCATTGAAAATCTGTCTTGTGAAATGAAGGGTCCACATAATAGAAAAGTTATGACGACTTATAGTGAACGCCGATATTCCGCAGAAGTCAGTAAGCTGATACCACTTTAGACGACTAAAACAACAATTCACATAGATATATGGAATGTCTGAACAAAGTGACAGACCGGCAGAGCTATTAAATAGCAACGGAAAAGTAATTTTCCTAATTTAAACATATATTTCATCATAGATTGACGCATCACCCGAAGAGGATAGTTGAAAACCGGAAAGTTCTGGACAGATACTTTTTGTTTTAAGTAAAAGAAAACTGTCAAATGATACACACCTAAAACTTCGTCAGTAATTGAATCCAGGCTACACTTAAGGTCATACTAAGATAGAATTAAATTATCGATATATTCAACCTTAATCAATTTCAATGCACATAGGTGACAATTTTTAGTAGTGAGACCCGCTACTATTTCAATCTGACTTTTATTGACAGACAATAATAAAAACATAGCAAACAGTCAAACTTGTTTACATAATTCAATGTTATTTTCAAAAAAACTTGCTTGAAAATAAAATCGATGAAAATTGTAAAACTTTTATAATATGACAGTTATCGAATTATATATAAATCAGTGAAAAATACACAATTCTTAAAACTGAATGATTTTGGTAATGATTAAGTTAAACTTTAAAATCACCCGCTTTTTCTCAAATTATAACTTTTAAAACATAATTTGAAAGAATAATAAAACAAAGTTGGCAAAACATTAATTTTTTTGTAAAAAACGAAAAAAGTATTATAATCAGAAGGGGTTTTTGTGGAGATTTAGTAGTTTCATAGTTGAAAGTGTGAGTCAGTTGTAGCTAGACCACCAAGGAAAACCTAGAAGCACTGAACGCGAGACTGGTAGGTCCTGGGTTCGAATCTTGCGAGGTGAGGTCGTGGATGCGCACTGCTGAGAAGTCCCACAATAGGACGAAACGGCCGTCCAGTGCTCCCAGGTTTTCCTTGGTGTTCTAGCTTTAATTAACTCACTCTTTCAACTACGAAAAAATATTAATCATAAAAATGAATGATTTTTTGGTAAAAATTTACTAATATATTCAAATAAAACAAAAATGTTTATTCTAATCTCAAAAGGTCTATTCATTCAAGAAACGAATTTAATCAACTCAGATAAATTCACATATTACATACCAGTATTGATACAAAAGGTAAGTTGTAAGTAGTAAGCAGTGTTTTATGACAAATTGAATCATGAAGACAATGAATATTATTTCTTCATATCTGTCTTTCTTCCTGTACTATATCCTTATATACAACCTTTCTTTTATATATTACCACCACTAAATTAACTACTTCTATAAATTCAGTGTTCATCTTGTTGTACTAACGAGGTATGGCAACTTGGAAAGATGCATACGTGTGCTTGGTCTTACGTTGTAGCTGACTGACTGACTGACTGTATAGTATTTGAGAAAGTCAGATATTCTACATAGACCCCATATTTTTTTGGTAAATATTCTTCTAGTACAAGCATAAATGATAAATCAATGTGATTATCTGTTTATAAATTTTAATGTATACTTTCACTACAATCATTTTTCGTTTATTTAATATCCAAGAATTCCCGGTTAAACTTAGTGTCTAAATAAATGAATTTCAATTATTATTTAACACTTGCTTGTATAATTCATCAATTTATGTATAGTACTTGCTCTTCTTACTATTCTTTTCCATTCTCCCCTGGACTCTTGAAAAAAAGATCATATGAAATGTAAGCTTTTGTAAGTAACCATGATGATTAGTGGTGATAGACATTCAAACTTTATCAAAAACGTAATTGTAGATTGAAATCTTACAAGTAATCAGTTAGTGATATTTTATCTCATACAACTTATATGGCCTACTATATATATATATATATATATATATATATATATATCGTTGACTTACTTCATTTTCTAAATCAGTAACATGCAGATTCAGTTTATTCAAATTACGATTTACAAATGTTTTTAAAGTTTGTTGAAATGAAGCCAATTGTTCTGGTATGGCACAATCGACCAATGCACTTATAGCATCATGATCAGTTTCTGTATTATCTAAAATACACAAAAAAAATTATGGGAACAACTGAAAGAAGAGGATCTATGAGGTTTTACGAACATAGTCTCCGAAATATTCACTTGGTGTTGTTTACTAGTATTTTCCCATTGTTATTTAGGACTGAAATTGATAATAGTGAACATCAACTCTGCAGGTACATCCAGCTGCTGTTTCTTATTATTAGGTTAGTAGTAATTCTCAAACCAGCCATTCACATATATGATATTTTAGACAAACATTCATACATTAGGAAATTATTTGAATAAAGCAAATAAAGCAAAATTTGACGATATATATATATATATATATATATATATATATATATATACCTTGTTCATCTCCAACATCAGTAACTAGTTCAATTTGACGTCTATGTTGTAAAATACCATTGATTTTCCGAACTATTAAAACAGTTAGTTGAACTTTACGTGGTAGAATTATGGCTGGAGAAAATTTATGAACTAATGCCACCAATAAACGTAGTATAGCCACTAAATCCCGATTATACACGGCAGAAACAGGCCATAGTTGGGCAGCACGAACAGGTGATATGCCTAAAGCACCATTGATTTCATCAATTACAATCTAATAAATATAAATGAAAAGATATTGAAAAATCGCAAATAATCATGATTGAATTCATTTAAAATACTCTTAGTAAACTTATATCAATCTACAAGTATAATTGCAATGTAAGGATGACCTTGAAAAATTCCTAAAATGGTTTAGTGGTTTCAAAATCGTTTATCAGCTAGTAACCGAAGAGTTTATATAAATCAAAAATATTTTTCAGTAGAAGTAATGAAGTCTGTTAAAGTTAAGTGGTTTTAAGGAGTTTAATTATTCTTCTTCTAAACTTATCTTCATGGAATTATTTCGGTATAACTTTAGTTATTAGGGTGCAAAAATATTCACACTAAAGATTATTCACTGAATTTTTCTTACAGCCACACATAATTCTATAGAAAATAAAGCATCCTTTGGAAAATTTAGATTACTGAATACACTGACGACTTTTTTAAGACAACAATCTGACAAAATCACTTAAAAATAATTATCAATTTTAGCATTGCTACCTCATAAATTGAACAATTATTCAGTGTACAATTAATAATTAATTAATTTGTTGAAATTCACTTAGTATTGTTTGTTTGAATCTTCCCATTTATGTTTAGGACTGCAGCTGGTCAGTCTCTAATTGGCATTTGTGCATACTGTGCGTATTGCCTCGGTGTAGTCTAAATTCACAAGCATTGTAAGCAAAGATGGATAATGGATAGAAGTTTGTTTGAGTTTGCCACGGAAAAACAAACCAGATTAAAGCAAAATCTCACTGATTCATTTATTATATTTATGCACAGTTTAAATAGAAAAAAATAAGCATTTAAAATCTTCAATGCGGTCCTTTTCTCACTATGTGAGATGACCAAAAGACTGTTTTCTTAATAACTACTTTAGACGTTTAGAACACTGAAAAGGCATTTTCATTTTTATTGCAATTTTTACATAAACCAAGATAAAAGCCCTTCATGTTATTTTACTACAAGTGAAAATTAGAAAGTAGTTCGTGGCTTATCCCAACTAATTCACCAGACTATAATGATGTAACAAAAGCACAGTAGGCTACCTGATACAGGGTATAAATAAAGTTAAGGTCTGGAATATTCATAAAAATAATAATCTGGTTAATACATTTCACGTTCCTGTTGACGTGGTTTGCGAGACTTACAACCTTATCAGTTCAAATTCAGTCGGTAAGTAGTCTCTGAGATCGTAGTAGTAAAATAAAAAGTTTAAAATAGTAAATTTTTATCATGTCGGGTGTGAGGCAGTTGATCCCTAAAGACAATGGAAGATGGTTACGCAACCTCGTAGATCGATTGCAGTTAGACATCACCACCCTCCAATCCCGCCTAAGAGGTCTAGAAATTAGGCGTTTGTGCGCGAGACCGAAGGACCTGAATTCGATTCCTGAGCGAGGGATCATGGACCATCTTCCATTTTCTTCGGTGGGTGCGCACTGCTGAGTCGCATACTAGGAAGAAACAGTCATTCAGTGCTTTCAGACTTTCAACGGTGGTTTAACTTAGGACAGTTCATGATTTCATTTTTTAATTTACATTAGGTTCAAATCCAGTTTTCTATTTTCAATAATCGTTAATATTTATTAGGTTTGTTTAATGACTCTCAATGATCCGTGCATTATCACCTTAATTGAGAGTATCAAAACACAGATAACTGTATGTTTCCTAGAAATGTTACTTAGTTTCTACATCTTGCAAGATCGTTTACCAAAAAAACACCTTAATTATATTACAAGGATTGACACAATTCTACCGACTTATTATCCCTATAATTGAAATTTGAGCAAACATGTGTTAGATGATAATAGCTAATTAATTGTTGGTAAACCATAATGTTACAGTGGCAACTTAAATAACATTCAACAAGAAGAATATGTCTAAAAAACAACAAGTCATTTTTGGTAGAAAAAAAAATGTAACTTACTTTTAAACGTTGTTTTTGGCCTATTTCAGTCTGCGCTACTTCTGGATGATTAATTTTAATATTTAGCAATTTTTCAATTAATTTTTGCAATACTTGTCCATCAAATAAGTCTGCTTCTAGATCACGTACTAAAATTCTATCATCTACAAGTTCAGTATTAATCCATTCAATAAGTGAGCATGATAAATCATGAACTAATGGATGTTCCTAGTAGAAAAATTTTTTTAAAAGAAAAAAGAATCTATGTAGATGTTTATGCGAATCCGGATCGACAAATTTTAAGAAGCCAATTGTGTTGTATTGCAGTTTATTCTAATTGCAATTATTTTCTTTATTTTCGTCAACCCACCAAAACAAAATACATATATTTGAATAAAAATAAAAGGTAAGGGAAACAAATAAACATATAAAAAATTTCCATTCTATAAATCATTCGTTGGAATTGATTAGATAAGGTCTGTAATCTTTAATAATTGGTATTCAACACTGCAACTGGTAAATGTTTGCTGGTTTATTTACATCCTGAGATCGCCTAGACCTTTATCTTTAGTTTATTTACGAGTTTTAGCATATCTGGCATATGGCTAACAGTAGGATCTGAAATGTGTGCTTCGTCCTACCTGGGACTCGTTAGCCGGATATACCTTCGTTCCAATGTTGATCCTCATATTGAGACGTAAACCCAGTATATATCGATTCAAACGCTAATGATGATGAAGACTAACAACAACCTCATCAACTGATTCACCATTATCCCCTAATACCCTGCATCTAACCTCACTATTACTTGCCCGGCGATCCCAGCATATGCAAGCAATATTTCTAAGACATCTGTGATTAAGTTCTAGTAACTTGCGTGTATCTTGTACGTTTCGCAGCCGAAAAGTAGAACAAAGCTAACTGCTGCGCAGTATACTCGTCCCTTAATTGATAGACGGATATCTCGTCTTTGCCATAGATGACGTGAGTTGGCAAAAGCCAAACGAACTTTCTGAATCCGTGCCCAGATTTCGTCAGATACCAACCAGATAAACGGAGGGTGTATCTCGTCGGCTCTCTATTTTGGTGAGGTGAGATCAAGTGAATGATCACACTAGGATCCTGTATGCGTGTCTAGGAGACACAGCATACATCAATGATACGAGATTCCAAGGTTTTAGCCAAGGAGGCCTGCTGACCGATTTGACTTAAGGTACGTACGTTGAAGGCCCCAATGTGTAGTTTGGAGTGAGGTTTTAATAGGCCTGGGACAGTGTTTCGCGCACTAGAATCGTCGGCCATGGTGACAGTTGAGAAGGAAGCCGAAGGAGGAAGTTTAGAGTTGAAGTTCCAGGAAGTAGAAATAAAAGGAATTGAAGAGAGAAATTGATTATGAATACAGTGATCTTGAGTGATGTTAGAGGTATGAGGGCGGTTATCACTTCCCGGTCGCCCACACCGTGGAACGGTTCTTTCGGAGGTCCCTGAAAAGTAAATTGGATTAGAGATGATCTCAGTGACCTGAGAGCGTGACCGCAGTGCCTAGGGGACAACTGCTTGAAGTCAGTCACACACAACCTTCTTGTGAGAAATTTTTGTGTTAGCTCCGTACTTGTTGGGACCTTACGGCTGGCGACGGAAATTCGTGGGATAACGCGAGGTGTGCATTTTTAGGGTTAACCTTTTTCAGCCCCACCCTTTCTTGTAGGAAGGTAGCATCGCTGTTACGCTGGTTGTTTGAAGGAAACACCTTACTGCTGTCACACCTCTGTACAATCAGCAGTACGACTTCGCCCTCGGGCCTTGGCTTTGCTACTTTTAGTCATAGCGCTCTTCAACTGACCTGTCTGGCATGGTAGGACCTTGAAGAACGACTGTTCCAGTCAGTATAGCCCAATTGATTCATTACCATAGACAAGCCCGGCCACCACGTCGAGGTAACAGCAACGGTGGGGATATAACTCAATAAATTAGCTGTATTCGTTGGTTGCAATAATTAAACTTTATAGTGCTGTAAATTGTATTTTATTCATAATGTCAAATGCTGCTTACTTCAATTTTTTCAAAATCTGGCTATTAATCAGTAAAATAAAATATGTAGAAATTATATTCAGATATTAATTCACGTGAATAATAAATCGGTATCTATCATGTTTATCTCCTTCCTTGCACTGAACCACAAAAGTTTTTATTTAGTTCATACTCTCTAACAGATGTACATACAAAGCAAAACGAACTTAATATCTCACAGTACTAAATTCTAGTTTGATCACCAAATTGTCTTAATTTTATACATGTAATTGCTAATTATTATTGATCGCTTTTATTATTAAAATGTAAATACACCCTACATTCGTACCAATGCGTCACCTTGTTTCTTTCCTCCTTTTCTCTCCTCAAGAGTCCCACACACACATACACACAGGTATACGAATACCTCAAGGCTAGATGCGAACCTATCAAAGGATGAAGGTTACAGTACTACATCAAAAAAAGATGGAAATTGAAAATAAGGAACACTGAATTTCAATTCAATGGTCTAAAGACATTATATTTCACAAAACCTGAACCTACATATAAATAAAAATAATATATTTGTAATATACCATTTAGTCCAAACTTAATCAGACCTGTTTTTGATTGATTGCACTTGATATTCTTGCTGAACATTTGTACTATCTAAACTTGGGCTAATTTAAGTTGGTTATTTATTTCCTGAAGAAGTGGCTTACACTGAGTCACGAAATGTCAGAAAATTTAAAAACTTAATTTTTCTGCTAATTAGGATACTACAAATATATGATTTTTATTGATAAAAATCAACTCAATACTCAGTTTATTCGAAATTATCAAGTCAAACCTTGGTATTTGACAGCTACTGAACCTACATAGTTCAATCCTGTTTTGATTCATGGTTCCGCAACGTTGAAGAGTTTAGGAGTAGTAAAAAGCACCTTTTCAATTGATATCGATTCATGATGAAAAGTAACCCGCAGATAAAAACCACCAGTTTTTGTTAAGTCAAACATTAATAACATTGATGCAAACGTGAAGGCGAGGATTGGCAAAACAAGAATAGTATTTCTACAGTTGAAGAACATATGAAACTCAAAACAACTATCAACCAATATCAATATCAGAGTCTTCAGTACGAACGTCAAGACAGTTCTCCTGTACAGAGCTGAAACTTGGAGAACTAACACAACCATCATCAAAACAGTACAAGTATTTATAAACAATTGTCTAAACACGATACACAATATTCGTTGACCGGATACCATCAGCAACAGCTTATTGTCGCAGAGAACAAACCACCTTCCAGCTGAGGAGGAAATTAGTAAAAGACGTTTGAATGGATAGGACATACATCACAGAAATCATCCGACTGCATCACAAGGCAAGTGCTAACTCGAAGTCCTGAAGTGAAACAGGGAAGAAAAAAGCTGAAGAACATACTGCATCGGGAATAGGAAGCAGATATGAAAAGGATGAATAGCAACTGGATGAACTGGAAAGGATTTCCCAGGATGGAGTTGGGTGGAGAATGCTGGTCAGCGGCCTGTGCTCCTACGTGAGGAATAACAGGCGTAAGTAAGTACTAACAACATTACTACAATCTATGATTGTTAAAAATAGGTAACGTTTGAAACTAAATTTTAAACACCAAACCTGCTCTGCTAACGTCATTTTTTCAGCATATCGTATTTCAAACGGGAGATAAATTAACAAAATGAAAGATGATAAATACTATATAAATCAAAATAAAATCCCTTATTTATGCATGATATGACTAACTTTTGACTGAGGTTCTATCATAGAGCGTTCTTCACCCTCGGCCAGCTGATAACCATCAGTACCGAGATCAACTGGAGCTGGAAGTAACGGGTCCTCCATAGCCTGTCGCGCTTCAGCTGCCAACTCTTCAGCTTCTTGTTTCCGTCTTCGTGAACGTGACAGCGTGTTTAACTTAGCTAAGAAGCCAGACTCTCGGGAATCAGCTCCGCCACCAACATTTGGACCATAGATTCCACTTCCAAAATTTGAAGCCCCTGGGCCTACAGCACGTCTGGGAGTCCCAGGGCTTTGAAGGTTACCTGACTGTGGCTGTGGAATTTTTTTAAGAAGTGTGCAAGGAGATTAGGTTAAGTAACAACCAGTTAAATGAGAATCAAAGAGATTTCTTATCGAATAATATTGGTCACCAACAATTTTTAATGGATGAGAAAAATGTAATTGTGTCGGTTCACTAGAATCCTACCACATGACTTAATAGTATTACACTCACCGTGAGAACTTAAACTCCCTGATTTGGTTTCACGAAGACTATAGGAGTGCTGACGTAGAAACCTGCATCATGATAAAGCCGTTCCCATATATATAAATAATAAACAGGACTAAATACACGTTCTGAATTGCACTCATAGTCAACATTCAACATAAATTGGGTTTTTAAATAGAGATAATATTGAGATAACCCTATACACGAAGTTCATATAGTAAAAAATTGATTACAAGTTAGTGTTTAATATAAACGACTACATATAAAAAGTATAATTTAATAGTTTAAGTGTAATGAATAAATGTATAGTACTTCCATCAAATAAACTCATACATAACAGTTTCATAGTTAAATAAACTACAGGGATCAGCAAAGTAGCACATGTGAAGTAGATAAAAAGACTTGAAACAATCGACTCATGAAAGTAAAATAAGTGTACAGATACTTGAATTCATGAAAATTCTTGATAAAAACCAACACAAATATAATGAAGTTAATTTAAAATTCAGATTAGAGTAATTTGTGTTTGGGACTAGTTATTTAATTTATACAAAAGAATGATCACGGTTTAGAAAACTCGTAAAATATCAAATCTAAGTCCCACAGAAGCATTCTAGTTTATGCATCATGTTTGTGTGCAAACCGACATTTCTATGGAAAAAGTCCAGAAACAGTTATGATCTAAGAGCATTTTTAACAAAGAAGAAAAACGAGCTAGTTGTCAACTAAGCAGAAACGATGACAGCTCTTGTAGTTTTCGAGAGTTAACTCATCGCAAGACTGATACATTGCCATGATAATCATGGGTACTATACAGCTTCTTAATCATACCATGTACCGTAAAAGAAAGAATTCATTTCATCCTGGATATGATATGATATCAGAATTCATTTGGTGTGAATGGCAACAAATGGAGAAAAAACTGAAATGTAAAAAAGTGAGTCACAGATATCACTAGTTTAATATACTTTAAGGAGTTATGAGACGTCTGGATCAATATAGACAAACTAAATGAAGTCGAATATGACAAAGTATGGAGCTAGCTAAAGTTCTAACACTTCAAGAATAAAAAGTGAGAAGGCAAAAGAGTGAAAAAAATCAAGTTGTTGTTTAGACGAACGGTAAGACAACACAAATCAAATAAATATGGAACAATATATTCAAGATTTAGAAGATATATAGTCAATCTCTCTGCTCAAACTTGATGGATTTGAAATCAGTTCACCTAATATTTCCAACCAATCGTCATCAAATCAATGTTAAAACTACTTATTCACAACTAAACTTAGCTAATGTACATAAAGGAAGAGTAGTAAAGAAGGAAATAATAGGATAGCATAATCTTCATGTACGCTGGACACTACCATCAAACTATTGAAGACAAACTGATGATAAACAAAAATCTCAATTATACGACTAAAACCTGGGGGCATTCCACCTGTTGTGTTTACATAATAGATAATCCTACCTTAAAATATCTATTTAACCTTGACGTGAAGAAATAAACGCACGTAACTCTATTTAAATATAACCTTCCGAAGCAGGAAATAACCCTTATAATAATCGTGTCCTAATGAGGATTTGTGAACTATAGTTCGTTATGACACGTGATGACAAGTAAATATTTTTCTATCTTCGCAATTAACATTTCGCCTTTCACAACCTGGGATGGGTTAATCAGATACTATAAGCCTTGAAGTGAACCAAAAGAAGTCCCTAAAACCTAACACACTTTCCACAGGAAATTGTGTCTGAGTCTATAAGCTATTCCTCGGACGTTTTTTATTGTGTGACAGTACTAGTGTACTTGCCTTATCAGAAACTTCGTAAAGATACTAACGATCCTCTTACATTTCACCTCTTAACTTGTGATGGTTAAGCGTTAAATATACTGACGCTAGCACAATCTCCCCAAATTCCTACAGAAGGTATGTCTTTCATAAACCACGTTCACTGCAACGAGTTGAATCACCCAAACCACAAACTCTATATTGGGTTAGATAAGAAACACTAATTTCCTAGACTGTATTACGTTAGAAAATGAGTAAATTTCATATTTCAGACAAGCACATGAAGTACGATTTAAGCTGTCCATTTAAATTTCATGCAGTTTGGTGACTTCATATGACTCAGCAAACAATTATGACTTCATAAGCAAACAGAAATTATTGCACTTTTGGGAACTGCAATATAACAGCTAATTGTATACTGTTTGACTGGATAATCCTAGAAAGTCCCACGAAAATCGCGAGTTCTGCTAGTCCTTGGCAGCATTTTCGGAATATCGCGAAAACGGTAGATGATATCATAATTAGAGAGAAGTTAAAGAAATGGGTGAACTGCCGTTCCTCCTGGAAAAGACAAAGAAAAATGGCCCCAACGTGTTTTTATAGGACACGATGCATAAGAATTAATAGGACAACTATTACAGCAATCCACACCCTGGAGTGACCAGTTGTTACATCTGACGGCAACAGTTAGTAACCTGTGGTAAGGGTTTAAGAAAAATAGGTCGTCCCAATTCCGTTTGGAATAAGGGATCCATAAATGTTCATTTCGTCTGGCTGCAAAGGTAGGAAATACTTGGAGCATTTTAAAATACCCGAGGCAAACGACAGATACCAAGAAAGATGAAGAAATTGTAATGCTATTTCTAGTTACAAAACAAATTGACTTGGAAACAACTGTATTTAGCACTACCATTGTTAAGAGAGATTATAACGTCATACTAATTGAAGGACCGCTTTTGACAGTTCACACTTTTAGTAATTAGTTACACCCAGAGTGCAATAATAACACTGATCTTCAGACTCTTATCGAAGGCTAAGATAAAACTAAAAGAGCAAATAATGAAAGGTCCTGACCGCCTTTTGAACAATTTCTGAACGTGATAGTCCGTAACTTACAGATTACTGAGCGAACTGTGTACAATCTGGTCATAACAAGAGTACATTTCAAGTCTGTAGTTCTCTGAACGATTTGTAGGATATAAGAATATTTGATATTAGTTATATACCAATGGAGTGAATAATCTCGTCAATAAAACCAAAACATGTCATAGTGATACGAAATTAGTGATGACGAAACGCACTAAAAATGACCTCAAAAGCAAATTTACCAAACCACCGCATAATGGTATACAAAAGCATGAAATCAGCAGTCACATAATACATGCCGCTAAAATATCAAGCTACATGCAGAAAAGCACAATTACGAGTATTAATATAAGCATATATTTATGGAACACAATATATCCTCGGAAAGAATTATTCAGTTTACATCACGTAGGTCATGTGTGTTGTACACAAAATACTAGTTGTGGAAAATGTTTTCTCTTCAATCGAAGCCATTACATTCAAAATTAATGCGGAGATTTAGAATCCACATGTTCATCCACTTTTTCAGCAGGAGTTTTATGCAAAACCCTATCGACTATTCCATATGAAACTGCTTCTTCTGCAGTCATGAAGTAATCACGGTCCATCCACTTTTCTATCACCTGTGGTAAAAAAAATCAATGTAAAGAATGAAACAGGTACCAATTACCGTATTTATTTCACACAATAAAAACCAAATATTAAGAATACCTATATTTGTATGTACTAAGAAAAGCATATTTGCAATTATTTAGTCTTTAGTGTTATTAGAATTGTACTCAAACACATTAAACAACGCGACAGAAGGAACAATCTTAAATATGCAGTAAACAACTTGCAACGTAAGTCAACGGAGTGGTGGACTTTCATGTTGCTTCACACGAACCTAACGTTTATCGAACTAACATATTTACACGTCCACTGTGAACAAGGTTTGAAAACATAAGACTTATCTTACGCCTTCGTTTATCATACTAACATTTAAAACGCCCGACTAGGTAAGCAAACATGTACGGTTGCCCACAGAAAATTTACGTATGAGTTTATATCGAAAATAAGATCTAGTCTTATTTTTTGGAACAACAGGCTACGAAAATGTAGAGACATACAATGTTATACAATACAGTGTAGGAATTCCCGGTAAATCAGGTAACTGAATATTCCACAATATATAAATGTAACGGTCTTATTTTACTTGTTTACCGCTAGTGCCGACTCTGAGTAAGAAAATGCGATAAGTTATTAGGTTTTAAAAACGAATCGACGATGAAAGAAGCAAAAATGGGTGAAAATTTAACTCCAGTACAATTTTCCATAGTAACCGTAACAGTCACATATGAGTCAAGAAGCCAAGATACCAAGTAGAATACCGATAAGTGGTCAAAATTAACTAGCTCAATATGAGAAGGATTTAGTTAATAAATATTTCATTCGGTTTTGGAAAGTTTCCCGTATAAAACCTGTTTGAAGTTACACTGACTTAAATGCAAGAGATCTGTATGTGACGAATCCAAAACATAAACAACCAGATCCCTAATTATTAATGATTCGATTCGTTGGACAGGACTGTTCTCTGGGATTGTCTATTGAAGAAGGGTGTGCCTGAGAAGTTCATTAACATCTTAAAGGCCCTGTATACGAACACCTGAGGCAGAGTGAGGGCATACAACCACCTTTCTCCCTTGTTCTATTCGAGCAGTGGGGTGAGGCAGGGTTGCCCAATCTCACCATTCCTCTTCAACTTTGCCATCGACGACATCCTGGAAACAGCTCTGATGGATGTAAGTAATGGCGGTGTGGATATGTTGCCTGTAGAACGACTTCTCGACCTCGAGTACGCGGATGATATTCCCTTACCGTGCGATAATGCCCAAGGCATGCAATCCGCACCTAATCAGTTGGCAATCAGTGTCCGCAGGTACGACATGTGCTTTGCGCCCTCCAAGTGCAAATTACTCCTACAAAACTGGCAGGATTCTCATCCTGTACTCACCCTAGATGGTGAGCAGATTGAGGTAGTTGAGAAGTTCGTGTATCTAGGTAGCTACATAAGTGCTGGTGATGGCGTGAGTGATGAGATTGATGCATGTATAATGAAAGCCAGAGCGGCTTATGCCAATCTGGGCCATCTTTGGCGCCTTCATGATGTTAGTCTGGCTGTAAAAGGTCGGATCTACAACGCGTCGGTGAGAGCAGTTTTGCTCTATCCTTGTGAAACCTGGCCTCTCCGAGTTGAGGATGTTAGACGACTCTCTGTGTTCGATCATCGTTGTCTCCGAAGGATTGCTGACATACAGTGGCAACATCATGTTAGTAATGCAGAGGTTCGGCATCATGTGTTTGGGCGCAGAGACGATAATTCAATTGGTGTCACCATCTTGAAACACCGACTTCGGTGGCTTGGACATGTTCTACGAATGTCGTCCCAGAGACTTCCACGTCGTGCATTATTAGCCGATTCTGGGACTGGTTGGAAAAAGCGGAGAGGAGGTCAGTGTATGACATGGTGTCGTGGCATGAAAGAAAGCTGCAAAGGGCTAGCTTCTGTTGGTCATTCTCGACTCCTCGGCTGGGGTCCGAGAGATGGTGCAACACAGTGGCTAGAGACGTTATCAGATATGGCTCAGCATAGAAGCCAGTGGCGATCCTGCTGTATCCTTCTTTTACTTTCTTCATAAAGAGTGGCTATAACTTTCCTAACTGAGAGAGCTCTTCTGGTTGTACATTTCAGTCCGCCTTATCTTTTTATCCCTTCTCTCCCTACTTTCATTATTTTGTGTGACGCATACGTATCTGGTGCCCTTTTGTACCAATATGTATGTGTTTAAATAAATAAATAAATTATCAATGAACGTGAACTAGTCTAAATTAACAATTATTACTGACTGGCAACAATACAGTTAAACAATGTATATATCATAAAGCTGGTGCAATAAGTTCGAACGGAACCAAGTATATCTAACTTTGAACGCATTTAGTAAAACTCTACGGAAAAAAAACCTTTCGTATTCCCCACAACAGTGTAACATACTCATCCAGTACTTTATTTGTAGCTACTGCAATGGGCAAGTTATCAACATAACACAATCCCAGTATGACAAAATAAGCAACATAACATGATTAGATAGTCTGATAAAAACCACAATTTCTTTTATTTTGGAAATCTCGTCATGCAGTAAACCACAACTCGGAATATTCTTAGTCCCTTTTTGCCTGTCAATACAGACAACGCGAATGACTGTAAGTCAAATACAGACCCTCAGTGTTCATCACCCCGGTCGAAGCGCCGCACATTCGCTTTTCGTCCTCTCAACTTCGTAAACAATAGTAATGCCACGAGAAGGCAATAAGTAGGACTTCCCTGGCAGTGGTTGTATGCACGTGACCATGTGAGAGCATTTCGAGAGAGAGCTGGCTCTCCCACTCACGGCCGTACCAGGGCATTTGGGAGGAAAATTCGACATTGTATACCCATAAGATCTTTATCCGTGACTGTTATCACTGCGGATGAAGTTCTTAAGTAGAAGTAAGTGGCAGGGGGTGCAAATTGTGCACCACTATTTTAGGTGGAATTTTGGAATCTCCAGTTTTAATTTTCAAAGTACATCAACAGTTCCCATTAAATAAGACTATTTCATCCATCTTAAATAATAATAGTTTGCTTACCAAGTGGTGTGACCCCATGATATGATACGAATCTAAGCACTTACTTCAAATATTTATTTATAGCTGCTTAAATAACACAAATTACCAATCACTTTTATTTGCATATGGTCATCGCATACAAATCTTTGTAATAATAATACCAGTGACCACAACTTTTGAGACAGGTGGTTTTTCAGTCACTATTACTTATCCACTTCTTACGGCGACAGGTTAGGCGAAACTGTGATGCAGCGTCAACCAGCTCCTATGATATTAACCCAGAGTACAGATAAATAACTCATTTCCACATTTACATCGGTTACAAGTAAACTGATGCGACAATTCGATCAGTACTCGAGAATGAGAGGTCACAGGTAAGTGTTGCTGACAGCAAAACCTAATCTTAGAGATAAGTTTTCTTATATGAGTCTAGTCTTTAGACTCGAAGACATTTTAATTCTTAGTAATAATAATTATCAGTCGCACTGATAAATTAAGACTGATGACGGCTAAAATATTGAGGCCGCTTCTGACATCATCCTGGGACAATCTATAGTATTACAGGTCTAAGTACTTAGTTACTGAAATCCCTGATACACAATCCTGAAACCTGAAATAAGACGAATTTTAGGGAAATTACACAGAAACATTTGCCGGCATAGCTTACTTCCTGGGACTGTTTTGTGTGTCGTTCGTATATAGTGTTTATAACACTACGTGTCCTAATTAGCTCCTCTGCCCGAATTTTAATATCCGATGCTTGACCTGAGAGGAGTTATTATTTTAAATAAGCTCACCATGGGCAGAGCCAGATGGTTGGTGGACCATTATACTGGAATGAGGGAGAGCGAATCGACAACCATGTGAACCAGCTGCTAGCAACAAAGAACCCATACTACTAGCCTGACCTATGCAGAAAGTAGCAACTGGTGGTCTAATAAACTGCATAGTGTCGTAAATCGCTAGACCTGCAGTAACAGAGCCTCCTAAAGACAGTGTGGCAACAAAACCCGTTTTACCTGGACTGTTAATATATAAGTGTATAGGGGTCCTTTTGTCCTCTGATTGTAAAAACAGGAGTTGTGCGATAACCGATCCAGCCATTTCATCGGTGACTGCGCCCATAAGACATATAATTCGGTCCTTCAATAAACGGGAATATATGTCATAATATCGTTCAACATTTGTAGATTTGTCTAATACCATGGGTATGAGGGGTATATAATTCTGGGAGCCCGTATGAAAGCATTTTAGGCTAAGCTTATTTCTAAACCGACACTGGAAAAGAGCATAACACGCCAATGAGCTTGGGAAAGGGGAACATCGTATAAACCGCAGGGCCATTGTGGCGCCAATTCCATATATCAATTTCCAATACGTTTATGACAAGCTAATGTTAATCAGATTACTTTGTGCTCGCTTCTCAGTGTACATGATACGGCTCCAGGCCTTCGTCATCATCTACGAAAAGTGAGCTAGTATGGTATTTGTACGAACTGATGATTTCTTTGTACTTGAAGGACAGCTGATGACAATTGCAAATGCAATACGCTCGTTCAAATGGTTCAAATGGCTTTGGACGGAGTAGAAGAAGCTTTCACCTAACAGGCTTCCGTGTCTAATGGCAGTGGATCACCAATACCTTTAGGCTGGAACCTAGGTATATTAACGATAACAGAAAAAAAAAGAAATTGGTAAATCATAATAAAATGTTATCCTTAGTCCTCAAGAATAGATCAAGTTTCCTCTTAAAGGACTCCTAAAAAGTCACTTGGACTAGCTTAGTCGGTGGCGAATTCTAGTATTTGACAACTCTTAAGGAGTAGAAGTTGTGTCTACAGTCCGTTCTGCAATGTTGAATCTCCAGTTTCTGGATGTTACCCCTAAGTTTTGTGTCGGGACTATGTTTAAGTAAGTGTTTAAGGGGATGATTGAAAATGTTTGGGATGCTATAGGTCATCAGAGGGTTACCTCTAAGACGCTTTTACTCTAGTGTGTAAAAGTTTAGTGATCGGAGGCGCTCTTCATAAGGCTTGAATTTAAGTGCCCCAACTGATTTCGTTGCTTCCAAAGTGTCCTTTGTAGTGCCGCGATTCGTTAATCGTTCGTTTCGATAACCAATATAATTCTAATCTTAACGGCGCGTAAAATCAGAAGACAAAGGATAGCAGCAAGTACAGTTTATTGTCGAATAACTCAGGTCAGAAAGTTAGCAACACCTGAGTGAATAATAACGAGCGAGAGAGCGAGGCGAAAGATGATGCGTATTGGAGATGGATGGGAAACCAACTCTATTTAAGCAAGCGTTAATCAACATTTATAGTCGGACAAAAATGAGTGACAGACATATGATGAATAAGATACGAAGTGTACACACATATGCTCATATAAAAGTATAGTCAATGTTAATAAGCAAATGATTAACAAGATCAAAATATGACTCATAATGGATAGGCGAATTGGCTTGGCCAGCAACTAGAATAAAGTATATGGGCTTAACATATAAACTGATACTACATAGCCCCCTTGTAGAAAATAACACATTTATAAAAAATGTCTGTTTTCGAAAAATAACACTGAAGCGGCATGTGGATAACGTCAAAATGTGGGAAAAAATGGTACAATACCTGATAAATTACAGTGTCATGTGAGGGGTGGGCGTATTAAGCGGAAGTGTCATACTTATGTAAAAATGTACATGAATATTGTCAAGGTGCGGACAAAAATTGAAATGCTAGCATATGATTATGAGTACATTAGTAAGTGTACGAAAAAAAAATTAGCATGCATTTATGTCGTGACTGTCTGAATGAGAAAATAATATGTTCATATGAGCGATTCGAAATATCGCGAAAATAGAGTATAACAGTAATTGGTCTGTGGTGCCGACTGAATATGAGGATGCAGATCAGTGAAGTATGACGTTCTGATGAGCCGCAGTAGAGTAAATAGCGTCGATTCAGCGATAAGTAGATTCGAATTTATATAACTGAAGTTTATGTGGGATAAGAAATAATCCAGCCGTACGATGATGACTGCATCAGTAGTTGATATTCATTGCTATACTGCAATTGATAATGATAATAAAATGCGAAGTCAGTATGCGTTGTCGTTTGCGTCGAGTTATCGTTAAATATGTATTAGTAGAATGACCAGAGGAACAGGATAGTGACTGATGAAACGAGATATGCGGAGTCGTATTTCTTTTTTGGTCATGAAGCCTAGCGCGGTTTGTGTAGTTAGAGGGATATGCGCTCAACCTCGTTTGTTACGAAACCGTATAAAGGCGTTATAAATATACCAATACATATGATAATCGATGACGGCGGGTGAGACTGACTTGTAAGTAACGAACAAGAGTGTATCTTTGAGAGACTAGCTCTATACTCTATGTTCTGGTGTACAGTGCAATGGGAATAGAAAATTAATAGCAGTAATCGAATAGTATTTATGGGTAACGGATGATGCAGCATTCAGTTATACATGTGAATGAATAGATAATATGAACACAATCATTACAAATCGGCTGGTAATGCGGCGTGGAATACTTGATTTGCGTATAGACATTAAAGTATGGATAATCGTGAAACCAAAATTGCTGAAGTTCAGTTGAGGTTGTCGCGTAAAAAGTAGAAAACGACGATTGCTGAGTACCGATGAGATGAACGAATATTAGTTGTATCAAGAACATAAGTTCCTACTATCGGAAGTATGACTCCAAACTTATGTCTTTGATAGAGTGTAATATTAGACCGAAAGTGACATGAAAAAAAATTGGAACGAACTCACCGGAATCAGGAAAAATTTTCGTCATTGGATAATAAAAATAATCCAGTGAGTTTCGAATATCATAACGTGTACTGTTCATATAATTATAATTTGTTCGATTAGTGATTCGACTGCGTAAATGTCATAATTTATCGTCCTTACGAACAAAAATAATAATTCCACGTTAGATGATGAAATGACATTATTGTAATAATTAGCATATGATGATTATTAGAATCAACGAAATATGTCGTCGGCGGTTTCATTTTCGATTTGTGTTCACTCGTTGCGGTTGCCAATTATGTAGTGAGTTCGTACGTAGAGGTTGTCGATTCTGGCCCATGTTCGTTCGGCGAGGCATCCAATTCTGCAGCGTCGTGCTCGTACGGCGAGGTATCCAGTTCTGTTGTTGATTCTGTCTATACTCGTACATAATAAATGACTTTATTCCGCGTTGGTGAACAACGGAGTTAAATAAGTCAAATACGAGAATGGAATTCTGCCGTCAAACTGGCCAACAGTGCTCCTCAATGTTACAAGTGCATGGTTTGCTCGAAAAGTGTTTTTGTCACAGTTAGCGTACGACTTCAGGTCGTAGGGTACCATCAATTTCAAATCTTTTTCAACTTGGGATACTTCTAAAGAGGAGTTTCTTAAGTTGTAACCATAGTCTGCAGCGTGTGGCAGATGGGTTACTTCATACTTTGAAGTGTTAAAGGTAAGTGCATTGTCGTCTGCCCAACTTTGAAGTCGAGTCAGATCCTCCTGAAGTGCCAGTATATTTCCTTGGTTGCGTATCTCTCTCCAAAGTTTCACATCATCAGCAAAAAGCAATAAGTCAGACGATACTTGTTGTGGAAGATCAATTATATAAATCAAGAATAGATGAGGTCTTAGTATTGAGCCCTGGTAGACCCCGCTAAGACATTCCATGGCCTGAGAGAATTAGGATATGGGATGATCCGAGACGCGTAGAGCGGGTTATCCTTTCAGCATACGATTGTCTTATTCAATGTCAGCAGTAGGCTTCCTGTAGATTACCTCGACTAGACATATTGGGGTGGTAGACAATCTTATTGAGCACCACACTGATTTATCAAGAATGAGAAACTCTTGGTTGTGAAGTTCGTGCACCTCCAGGCATGATGGTACCCCATCCCCCACTCCAGTTTTCCTGTCGTTGCGAAACAAAGACATTCCAGGTACTGCTATCCGTAAACTAAGAAGATATCCAAGTTTCAGATATTCCTATCAGATGAGCATTATTAGCGTTGCTGAGTTCACGTAGATCGTCCTTTTATTTGGCAAACTCCCGGCGTTCATGTATAAGCTGTTTATGCTTTCAATTTGAAACGCGTGAGCTTATTCCTGTTTGTCTGTAAGGGCCTTACGTGGATGAACAGGTAGCCTACCTGTACGAGGTTTTCCAAGTTGGTAGCGCCTGTACTCTACACTATTTTCATGATCAAGACAGTCCACAAGTGGAATTGTCAGCTCCAGCTTTCTGTGATTATCTAGTTCTAGTTGCTGTAAATCTCATTATTCTAAGAATTCATAGGTAGTACATCATTCCGAATACTTCTAATTATGATTACTAATCACCTGGTTCTACTACCTCAAATTCATAGAACAAATATATAATTTGGTATTACTTGAGTTAAAGTAAATGCGAATTCTACGTAGAAGCTGAAATGCTGAACCAGTGCCGCTGTAATATATAAGAAAATCGCTGAACGTACTTAGAAAACTGCTAAATCTGCATGAAGATACCAAGAGAATGAATAAGAGATATGACAAATAAATAAACCCAGAGATCTCACGAGTACTCAGTATAAAGATGCCACAAGTATTTGAAGTTTTTCGACGATTATATACGTAACACCTTTATAACCAAAGTATGTCAACCCAGCCAAATGAGAAGTCAGGAATGAAGGCGTTCGAAGACAAATTTGGAAAGCTATCAATTTGTCGAGAAACGTTTGGTCTAAGCTGGCTAGCTGTTACAAGGTATGCCTGGCACGTTGTGCCCACTCGTGATCTGGTGCTGATGCGTGACTTAGCACCTTCATCTAGGTGAGTTCACTAAAGTTAATGCGGTCAGCATCAAGCATCGATGACTAACAGAACCATTTATGTTGGAGATTTGTTTACCACTACAATTCACGCGTTCTCCTTGAAGCCTTTTATATCTTTTTCTCGGGAATAATAACCAGGAGCACCAAGTAATGTCTTGAAATCGGCGCTCTGACTGTGAAAATGTGCATTTGACAAAATATCTTTTACTGAAAACAGTTCTACCCCCGATTTCCGCCATTTACTAGTCTCTAGTTTTTCGTTGCATAACATCTTCCATAGGATGCATTGACGTTTAAATTGTAAATCCTAGTTTTGACACACTAATCTCATTCTCATGAACGAAAATTTGTTTCATTGTTCCTGTAATGAATTCTTATGGTAATATATCGCTCTGAGTATCTTATAACAGTAATTCTTGTGTAGTGTTCAACACACTGATCTAGCCTGTAAAGTGAAATGATTCGTGTAACTAGTTATTATTTGTGAATAGATTATCGTGGTTGTCATAGCTACCATACTGGGATGTCCTGGGTTAATGATGCGTAAACAATGTAATCACGAAGACTTTGTCTATCATAGCCTCTATGAGCGGTTTTCA